ACTGCATGATAGAAATTATTTTCCCTTTGATTCACTTTGGTCCCGAAGTTTGTTTCATCCACCTTTTGACCTTGATTCATTCTCTTACTTCTCCTAACATCCCATGATATCACAATGTGTTACTTAACTCAATTCCATGCTTGACTCACCATTCGGGTCATCTTTTGAATAATTTCATTTTGGTCCTCGGAGTTTCATATTCTTCCATTTTGGTCCTTTTTCGTTCATTTTCTCATACTCTTCATTCCATCCATCAATGTAATCCTACAAACACAAATTATATCGAATTAAATCATATTTCAACATATGCATCAACAATTTTCCATTTTTTTTGACCTAAATAAGTGTGCAAAATACACTTATCATTAATCAATAAATGAATTAAACTTTGAATGATTTCTTCGTCCATGCTCTTTTAAGCTGAGACTCCGAAGAATTCAAGAAATCACAAAAGGCGTGATGCTTAATTAATTAATTCAAAGTCAAGCTTTGAAAAATATTTTTTTGTCTGGTGAGCTAGTAGCAAGCAGTTTTGTCATTTTTCAACAGGTTTACGCGTCGTGATACTTCATAGAATATTTTCAAAGTCAATGTTTTCTTCAAGTATTTTTGGAGAACACAAATCAATGTGTTGAATGTTTAATCTCGTCAATTGATCAAGCTATTTAGCGTGAAGTTAAGAACAAAATTTTTTAATCCAAATGGTGGTTGTGATCGAGTACAATAGGGAAGTGATAAATTCAAGACATGTGGGTTTGATTATACTTCATCAACAAGTCAAAAGAAGAAGATAAAGGGAGTTGTTTTCAATTTTTTTTTATTGTTCTTTGTTTTGTGAAATTACAAAATGGATACTATTGTTTTTTTTTTTTTATCAATTAATTAGTGGATCAATTTACCCGTGGCATGGGGCCCTTGGATTTTTCCATTCAGGATATACCAAGTTATATCTGGTGTTCAAGTATTGATTCGCTATTTAATTAGAATTTACAACACTCTCATTCCAGTAATTTTCTTCCATTTATTTCAATTTTCAGAACTTGCTTTTATTCTTCTGTCATAATCATACTCAAGACAATGCAAAGGCTCCTCCAATACTAAGTTTATTCCTTGTTAGAGATCGTTGTTGGGCGGTGAGAGGAAAGGTAATCATTCATATAAATTTTCAATTCAATAATTTACGTTCAAGATAAGTAATTTGATAAAAAAAAAAAAGAACATAACTTCCTCTTAGGGCGATTCATTTGTAGCTAATTATCATGTCTTATATTCATTATTACATTACAACATGCTAATTTTTCTTTTTGGGTGACCGCATTTTTTTTCGGGGTAAAGGAATGTAACTAATTAGACTAAATTGCTTTTTATAACGAACTATCATTGATGGGACACAACCAAATTATATAAAATTTAACTTTACTATAAATATGATCGTAATTGTTATCCTGTCCACAGTGGGCCGCGTAAGACTATCCACTTGTTAATGTAACAGAAGGAGAACCATAAGTAGAATTATCTCCAAGCGGGTAAGATAAGACTTCCCTCTGGAGGCAGGAGAATATTTCTATAAATATGATATATTGGTGTGTTCGGTATCTAGATTAGAGATTGAGCATATTTGAAAACAGTCTTGCTAGGGGTATATCACCTCTTACACAAGGGGTGACATAATGGCCAAGTGGCGCCGAGGCCCATGAAAAAGGGAGTATGGAAGCCACGGTAAGAGCTTTATCAATGGGTTTGACGTCATGCATTGAGAATTGTGAGCTACTTCATTGCTATTATTATATACAAAGTTTCAAGAGCCACACCCAATCGAAACTAGCAATAATAAAAACTAGCTAAACGTGAATAAACATAGTGCACCATTGTGATCAGCCCGTCCCAATTTATCGCCAAAAGTTCGCCACAAACAACTAACATGTATCTCCCAAGTCAAGTTAGTTGTTTCTATGTTTTGCTTGAGATAATTTTGAATTTATAATGGAAATGGGATCTCCATACTCAAGTTTTTGTAACCTTTTGCTATCCCTTCTAAATATATCTTCTGACGTAAGGCCTCGTGTCTCTCTAATGAAGAAGCATGCTTAAAACGGGGATGGTCCCAACTAGGCTTGGGGTGAATTCTTGAACTTGATTCTAAATGATACAGGATGGATTTTGTTAGTCATGAGCTATAGTTTTTGGTCTCCCTCGTGATAATCTTAAGTTTTATTGATCTATGAAGTACGAATAGGAGATAGTACAAACTCCATATCCGTCAGTATCTTGACTTTCAAATCGACTTCAACAATAATATATATTTAAAGAAGAGATTGATATGATATAACTCCTACGAGAAATCACATTGTTCCATCCAAGGATATGCCCAGTTTAGATCTTAATTTCAACATTTTTTGCTCAACCAAATTATGTCACTGGCACGTTCAATGAATCATTCTCATTTTGGTGAGAGTTGTACTCTTTCCAATGAATAAATTTCTTATATAAATTGCCAGGCTAGCTTACACTACATAAAATGATAAAAATACAGCAAATAAATACTGATAATAAGCCCGTAATTAACACGCTTTTATAATCCTTCCTCCACAAGTTTGCCAACTTGTATACAAATACAACTCTTCTCCCTCCCAACTTCTAAACAAATACTCTCTCCCATCACGAATTCAACAAGGTAAGCTTAAGTTTTATCTCTTCACGTGCAGGCTAAATTCATTTCTCAACATCCCGAAATAGTGAATAATCTTGATAAACACAAAACTTTTCTCGTTTTGATAATGTTGAACAAACCATATATGTTTTTTCTTCTTTTATTGTGGAGTGTCCTGAATTTTTTTTATTAAGAATCGAGTTCTTGTATATCATGTTTTGATCAGGTTTTAGAGAATATGGGGAAGCACCACAACCACAACCACCGCCACAACCACCACCACCCTGGAGGCAGTAGCCCGCATGATGATCCACTCTTGGCATGCTGTTGCGGCCCTTGTTTATTAGTCTCGTCCGCCTTCCGAATGATCAGGAGGTGCATGTTCGTCGCTTGTTATCCTGTGTTGCAATGCTTTGGATGGGATGATTACAGACATTACCATCACCACCACAAGCATTTTTGCTGATTTTCTTTGTTGTTTATATCTATCTTTATTCAGTTGAATTCCTTGTAATTTGAAGTTTTATGTCTCTACAACTTAGAGGAAGAAAATGAAAGGAATCCTTCAATCATTTGTTTTAATTACTTTATACAATCATCTGCTACAACAAATATAAGATAATTAATTGAAATAGTTGAATTTGGTACGCAGCAGTGGACGAGATTATGCAGCACAATCCAACTTACTAAACAAGCTAAAAAAGAAGACAAAAGTACTATAAAAGATCAAAGACGATTCAACCTGAAGCTTTAGACAATATTGATGGCACCATTCTAATTCATATTGGAAGATCGTTATTAAACGTATATTTTCTATTCGAACAACAAAAATATGCATTTTTCAAGGAAAAAACAACTGCTGATCCAATACAAGTGAGGCGATTACTGGGAAAAGGAAAAAACTAACTCAAAAAATGACTGCTGAGGGCAGACACTGCCTAGGAATACAAATTTTGTGCTAAGAGAATTACTAATGAATCAATTGAAGCAATTTATATCAGAAACTTATCGTTTCAAAGACATCGAGAACTCTGTTAGCCACGGCACTGCATCAATTGGCATCTCAGCTTCTTTACATCCGAGTATTTGAGAGGCTTTAACATGAACATTTGAGCTCCTTCCTCTAAGCACCTGTTTCAGAAAAAATTAGAAATATTGGTAATAAATAAACAGGGAAAGAAGATGAAAATCAAGATTTTAACAGGGTATTTACTTATTGATTCGAGTTGGTACATTCTCAGATGAAACTATGACAACGGGAACATCCTTCATGTTTGACGATTCCTGTATGTAATAAGTATTGTGCGAATAAGAGATTGTTTGGCATACACCGTAAGTAATTTATTTTCTCTTCTGTGTGCGCTTTTTTACTTAACATGGGAGAAAAATTACCTTGATTTTCTTGAGTAGCTCATACCCTGTCATTCCCGGCATGCAATAATCTGTGATTATCAAATTCACCTTTGAAGCCTGCCCAAAGAGATAACATAACGATTTCATAAGAATAACAAACAAACTCTCGACTTCACTCCAGGACTTACCCTGGGGAGTCTATATAGGCTATAAGAGAGAGCAAAAATATTTCTAAGGGGTAATATACAGTACTAGAAATTGAAGGTAAACTCTATATTTTTGTCGACGACACAACCATTCATATTTCAGTGGCGTGATAACAAATCACCACCTTAATCATTTTTCACTTCTAGACAAAAGGCCTCGTTGATAATGCACAATCTAGAGAAATTAAATATTAAACGAAAAATCTATGGGACTTAATCTTTCCATGCTGAGAAATCTCTCTGCGATTTATCTACGAAATGTCTAATTGAAGAATAAGAGCAATGAACAGAAGGAAATCCTATGCAGATGTGTAAAAGAGTCCATATATCTCCCATCAATAATAGATTCATATTTGCTTCTAAGAAGTCACCTACATTGTCATTCACACTGCTCTGCCTGTCACCACCTCCTAAGCCGAGATACTCCAAAGCCCTCAACCCGTTTTCTGCAGTAGTTACTGAACAATTTATACTATTAGCACATTCGAACCTCACATATTGATCAAGAACCAAGAAATAAAACAAGCATTACAATTTCTTCTTCTCCACAACTTTCTATTATTGAATACTCAGTAATGATTTTTGAGTATGGAGCCTGAGATTGGTGCTCAGAACCCATCATTTTTTTATCAGAGCTGGTTTGGCAACATTCCCTACCGCCTTTTTTTTATCATCCCCGGCAACTAGAACTCATCAACTAGGGATACTCAGAGGATGCTATGTTCATTTTTAAGCAACATCATAGTCCATTTAAGAAACTGGGAATACAAAACAAATCCAGAAGCATAATGGCTAAAAAATATGATGTGATTGAAAGCAATTGCTGGAATATTAGCCTTAACACATCTATATATTCAAGGCTACATGTACACTTACCAAGTATTATATAAACATTTAAGCCTAAATGAAATAACTATGTAGATACATTTCTAATCCAAAAGATTATCAATGAACAACTAAAAAATCTTGGTTTTTAATTATTTTTCAGTTAATGAAAATGGGATAAATAAAATTTATAATACCCACAAATTTTACATTGGACTCCAATTTCCGACAATAATCTACTTATTTGTAATGGCTAAATTAAGATAAACTGATACAGAGCCGCGATAGTACCTTTGCAAGAGGAATTTCTGAGCAACTTTTCAACAAGTTTACGATCAATGAGATTGTCATCAACTGCTAAGACATGGGGTTCTTCCATAATACCCTCTATTGAAGAAACACCGGAAGCAGCATCCATTTCTCACTTTATTGACTATTAATGAAAAACCACCCCTAGAACACGCACAAATTGTGTGAAAAAAGGCACGAAAGGACGGAGTAAAAATGGAATATGAATATTTACAATGTGGGTTGGTGGTAGTATTTAAAGTTGAGAATTTTTTATGAAGAATCAAAGAGAAGAAGATAAAATTAAAGTTCTTAAAGGTGGTCACAGATATTTCGTGATCTTTTTGGGTTTTCTGGATTCGATACAGTCAGTCCAGTTCACCATCCGTATCGCATTTCTCTCTCTCTATATCTCTTAATTCCTCTTATTCAGTATCTCCACACTGCTCCATGAGATTTTGGCCATCTTTGAGTTATTTTACTGGATAATAAATTTTGTAATATGATTTTTTTAAAGAATGTATAATTGAAAAGTAGGAAAAAAATTTTGAATTACGGGTAAAATCATTTCAATAGAAGAATGTGGGACCGATAATGAAGTTCGAAAAAAAAAATGAATTTTAGAGAATATACGTCTCAAATAGTTACTCTATATCCACCTCATTACTTCTCTTTTTTAATTTTTGGGATAGATCTATTATGACGCAAGACAGAAATATGAATAATAATGAAAGATTTTGCTCGAACGAATGTGGGAAATATTGAAATCCACCAAATAACGAGAAAACTGTAATATTTATTAATAAAAAATGAATGCAAAGTTTTCGATTCCTTAAGAAATATTTAAAGATTTAAAATAAATCTTAATCAAATCTAAATAAAGCCCAAAAGTTTCGAAAATGACAAAATACTTTTAAACTAACTCGATACAGAAAAATGTTAAAACGGATCGCTAAACCATAGAATTTGACTCCGAAAGTTTGCCCAAATGCCAATTATTTCTACCCAACAAAAATATGCATAGTTGAAAAACTCTTTCGATTGTACTCGCTCGTAAAAATTTGACACTTGAACAGAAAGTTACTAGCGTTTTCGTTGGTCCTTCTTGTTCTTTTTTTTAATTGCTTTATAATTTTCTCTTCTAATTGATCCACGTCACTCTATGCCTAATGGATACAAGAACTATTGAATTTATTTCAAGAATAACATGCATCTCATGGTATGTCATAACTAGTGATTATAATAAATAATTCTTATTAGTATGGCATGTCTCGTATTATATTTTTTTTAATATTTTACGACAAAAAGTAATTTTCTTAGAATATACTCCAATTTTGCTTTCTTTCAATTTCTGTATAGAGATGGCAAAATGTTGCGCCTTCAATTAGCAGGGAAGCTAGGATTCAAAATCGGCGGAGCCTAATTTAATTACGAAAGGAAATTCAAACACAAAATATCAAAAAATAAAAATAAAATATATTTAAATAATTCATTGAATATAAAGATATTTTATATATTTTCATGGAATTATAATTTGAAATATTGTCAATATTTTCCAAAAATTCTTGATTATTTATTTACCATAATTATGATTTTTTAGCTTTATAATGTGTATGCAATTGTTATTTATAAAGAATATACATTTTTTTATGTATAATTGTGATAGGAAATCTTTGAAGAACTAAAATAAATATTATGGGGAAAAATAAAGAATATTCTTTTGCAAGATCTAAACGAAGTTAAATGAAATCTTGTAAAGCGCGTTGATAAGAGTTCCTCCCATTAATTTTTGCCTTAAATGTTATGGAGTCCTTAAATTCAATATACAGAAGCATTTATTATTATGAATTTTGTGAATTAGGGTTTCTTCATATGAATTTCAAAATTTTAAATTTTGTACAAGAATTTGAGTTATTGTTCAATCTCTTTAATAGCCATTCAAACATGAAATTACTTAGAGCCTTTTTGATAGAATTTATTTGGGAATAATGAGTTATGAAATAGTATTTTGAATCATGCTACAAATTCAAGCCCAAATACTTACTCAAATCCAGGTGGAACACGTGTCGAAACCTGGTTGGACAATTTGAAAATTTAAAACAAAAACAACCAATCATTTTCTGACAAATCAGTCTCTCTCTCTTTTCCCTATTTTTCACCTAGGCTAAGTGGCTTTACCCTAGTATTTTTTTAGAGAATGTGTGATTAAAAAGTAAGAAAACTTTATTGGTTTGTGTATAGAATATTTTATTGTGTGAATGTATAGTGGAGAAATGATACCGTAGCAAACAATTTAAAACGAATGTCAAATAGGGCGTTAGGTTTATATAAGTTAATTTTAGTGTACCTCACTCCCTTCTAACTTTCTTCTTCATAAATTGTGTAATTCTTATGAATTGCGATTCTTTTTTCAGAAAAATTAAAGTTGCCAACATTATAAAGACATGTCGTCGTCCCAAACAACAAACAAAATCACAATTGAAATGCAATCAACCTGACACAGAGCTCGAGACATTAATAACAAAAGAAGCAAGAGAACAATCACTTCGTTATCTAGATGGGAAACGAAATGACAAGTATCAACAACTACTTTGTTCATTAGAGCTACAATATCACTAAATATATGAGCATTCGGGCTAGTGAAAATCATACGGTAGGCTTTGTGCAACGCGTAGCGCATTGCACTCAATGACTTCAACTTTGAAACCATGCTCGGAAAAAAACGACTACATGTCGAAGTGCATGGGTCTCTGCGTTTTAACAGTACTTCAAAATTTTCCAGTACTTCAATTTAAAAAATTGCAAAAATCCACAATATCTTGCAAATCAGTCCAAAAACTCAGTTTTTGTTTTTTATTCTAATAGGGTGGGGAGTGGATATGCAATCCTTCGATCTTGATACTCATATTTTCACTGATTCTCCGTGATCTTAACTTTCGTGCAAAAAAATAAAAATAAATAAATAAATAATAATAATAATAATAATAATAATAATAATAATA